GTGTATCTTCTACGAGACGTTTTTTTTTTTCTCATTTATTCCCTTTTTTTGTTGTTGTTGGCTTGGAAAGCAAGTCACGTGCAGACCAAGAAAGGTGCAGGCTGTCAGAGGTGTCAAAAGGTGTTGGCAGACCCTAAAAACCCAACCATGGGTGACCTGCTGCAAAACACAACATTTTCTTAAAATGAGATGGCTGGGCTCTTGCTTCATTTACTCTCTTAAAACTTTCATCTGCAACTACAAAATCTTCCAGCTTCAGGGCACCTAGACTGGAAATAAAGCACTGATACCCTCCAAAATGGGTGTGAAAACGCCCGAGATGGAGGCACAGCAGGTCCCCAAGGGTGCAGGCAGGGCAGGAGTTGGAGCAGAGATGGGGCAGCATTTGCAGCCCCACTGGTGCCACTGGGAGTCCTACTGAGGACCACACATTTGGGTCTAAGGCATTTTAGGGGGTATTTTAAGAAATTAGTCACTTTTTTTCCCTTGCAGGTGACCGCCAAGTGGGAAAACCTCTCACTCCCCATAGGGCAGACTCTTTCTTTCCTTTTTATTTTTTAAACTTTCTGGTATTTCATTTCTCCTGCACAACTGGAAGGAGAGGCTCCTGCACCACTCACCAAAAGGCTTTGAGTTAAAGGCAAGGAGTTGCAGCTCCATGCCACTCCTACACCAGAGATGCTCCTTTTGCAGCAGCACCTGGTGTAAGCAAATGCTGTGTGCTCGGCATTGCCCCGGCACCGTTTCCCCCACCATGGTCTGGATGATCTAGCAGATAAGAGCAGCTGTTCAGGAGCAAGAGTGTAGCCATATGTTGCTGCTAACAAGCATTTACTGAAGCTGGTTTCTTTCTGTGATTCCCATGTGTCTGATTAGCGCACAGAACCTTCGAGCAATTTTCAGATTTTTCACCCTCCCCTTGCAAATATTTTTTTTTTTTTTTTTTTTTTTTTAGGAGCATAAAATGGGGTTAAAAGCCACAAGATTAAAAAAAAAAAAAAATTTAAATAGCTAAAAAGTAATTCACTTAATTTTCATTTTGTATGTTTTGTGCTCAGAAACACACGGTTTATATGCTGACCCTGCTGTGGTCCTGCAGACTCTGAGCACAGATGAGATGCTCAACGACTGACCACGTGCCCTGGGAGGAGGATTGATATTGCCATCTCCTCAAGCCACATTTTGGGACTGTGCCCACAGGCCTGGACCCCTGCCCAAGCACCCGATGCTGTGCAGTGCTTCTTAGAAGCATGAGGGAAGGAAAATAACTGGTGGTTGTGACAGCTCAGGGTGTTTTGCTGGGGTGACGGCAGGACGTACAACCAGTGAGCCCAAATCCCTGATCCCCAGGCTTGGGAGGATGGACGTGGACCCTTATTTGCCATTGCATTCGTCAAAGTCAAGCTGACGAAGCTGGGAATGGTCCCTGGGCTGTGCCAGCATCCTATTCTTCTGGAAAAGGTTTTGCCAGGGACTGCCCCATCACCTGAGCAGACAGGAGGGAGCTGCGGTGACAGAAACATCCCTCCCCATGGTTAACCTTATCTCACTGTAGCTATGGGAAATGAAAGCAGTTTAGTCCAAGCTAGTTTTTCCAAACCACGCTGGTAGGTAGTAGATAGGCAGGTGCCATCGCAGGTGATTCATCCCACCCTTGGGAGGTCCGGCGTGGGTGGGGTGAATCACCCTCCAGCAGTACCTGCCTCCCTCCAGAGCCAGGATGGCTTCAGAGGAAGGGTGGAAATCACATCGCAGGTTAGGACACCCAAAATTAAAGTGTCAACATGTAGGTGTCTCAATGTGCACAGCTACTGCGTCTTCACTTCCAAATGGCTGAACAACGTAGCCATTCATACCTGGGACCTATTTTCCAGGGTTTTGCATCTCTTTCACAAATAACAAAGAATTCTGCAACTCCATAGAGGCAACATGAATTACAGGGCTCACGTTTGTGTCAGCTGTGTATATAGAATCACATAACGGTTTGGGTTGGAAGAGGACCGCTAAAGGCCATCTAGTCCAACCCCCCTGCAGTGAGCAGGGACATCTTCAACTAGATCAGGTTGCTCAGAGCCCCGTCCAACCTGGCCTGGAATGTTTCCAGGGATGGGGCATTGACCACCTCTGAGCAACCTGTGCCAGTGTTTCACCACCCTCATTGTAAAAAATGTCTTCCTTCTGTCTAGTCTGAATCTCCCCTCTTTTAGTTTAAAACCATTACCCCTTGTCCTATTGCAACAGGCCCTAAGAAAAAGTTTATCCCCATTTTTCTTGTAAGCACCCTCTAAGTATTGAAGGGCTGCAATAAGGTCTTTGTGGAGCCTTCTTTTCTCCAGGCTGAACATCCCCAACTCTCTCAGCCTGTCCTCACAGGGGGTGCTCCAGCCCCCCGAGCATCTTCGTGGCCTTCTCTGGACCCACTCGAGCAAGTCTGTGTCCTTCTGCTGTTGGGGGCCCCAGAGCTGGACCCAGCACTGCAGGTGGGGTCTCACGAGAATGAAGTAGAAGGGGAGCATCCCTTCCCTTGTCCTGCTGGCCACACTTCTCTGGATGCAGCCCAGTGCTCTTTGGTACCTGGTGTAGCCGGGCCCTAGGAGCTCTGCTGAGAAGAGGAACAAGTAGTCACTGCACCATGACCTGGGAGAGAGCCCTGCGTCCTTCCAGCCCAAGGCTTGGTGCTCATCACACCCATCCTGGCTGAGGAAGGGGATCCAAGCCCCGGGAAGGCACCTCCACGCTTAGCTGGGCTCCCACGTGGATATCTGTGGCCTGGAGTCACTGCACAACGTCAAAATGAGAAGACATAGAGTTTTCTCTAGTCCTCCCTTCCCACTCCAAAACACGATTGCCACCAGCACCTGGCTCCGTCCAACCCAACCTAGTGCAACGCGGGAAAATCAACCTTAACTCATTAATCACCATCAGCATCACAATGCCAACAGCCCCCTTGGGTTGGAGCCTGTACCAGCCTGACGCTTAATTAATGTGTGATTATACTGGATTTTCAAAAGGTACCTTTGGAAAGGACCAAATTTATGTGTCCAGCAAACATCCGTAGACTTGAGGCCACAGGGATGACTGCGTCGGCCTGAGAAGGGATGCAGCTCAGCATCTGCAGCGGCTTAGCCTTCTCAGCATGGCCACAGGCAAGAGAGCCAAGTCCTGCTAATAATTTAAAAGCATCAATTAACACAATTTAATAAATACATAAAAGGATCTAGTCTCTTTTTTTTCCAACCACTTTCTAGCATCAATGAAAGTTAAGGGTGATTGTCCCGTGAATAACTAAGGCAAATTGTTTGTGTCTGTGTGTGTTTCTCTCTCCTTTTTTGTTTTGATTTTTTTTCCATTGTTTTGTACATAAAGCAATCACATAAAAATAGTTAGAAAAATTGCAAAGGTTTTTCCCCCCTAGACAAATAGGAAAAAAAAAACCCAACCAACCAACAAACAAATCGAGACAGAAAAAAACACCTTGCTTCAAGTCCTTGTAGATTATACAGTACTCAGCATCTTTGGATACTTTACAATACTCCAAACTGTAGACAAAAAAACACCTGAAGTAACCAGTCATCTGCAAAATGTCACTTGTGTAAGAAGTTGATACGGATTTAAAAAAAAAACCAAAAAGTTTGATGCAGTTTTAAGAAATTTTCTTTTTTTTTTTTTTTTTTTTT